CTGTCCTGTCCTCATTCTGTCCTGTCCTCATTCTCTCCTGTCCTCCTCTGTCCTGTCCTCCTTTGTCCTGTCCTCTGTCCTGCCCTCATTCTGTCCTGTCCTCCTTTGTCCTGTCCTCTGTCCTGTCCTCATTCTGTCCTGTCCTCATTCTCTCCTGTCCTCCTCTGTCCTGTCCTCCTTTGTCCTGTCCTCTGTCCTGTCCTCATTCTGTCCTGTCCTCCTTTGTCCTGTTCTCTGTCCTGTCCTCATTCTCTCCTGTCCTCCTCTGTCCTGTCCTCCTCTGTCCTGTCCTCATTCTGTCCTGTCCTCCTTTGTCCTGTTCTCTGTCCTGTCCTCCTCTGTCCTGTTCTCTGTCCTGTCCTCCTCTGTCCTGTCCTCATTCTGTCCTCATTCTGTCCTGTCCTCGTCCTGTTCTCTGTCCTGTCCTCATTCTGTCCTGTCCTCTGTCCTGTCCTCTGTCCTGCCCTCATTCTGTCCTGTCCTCTGTCCTGTCCTCATTCTGTCCTGTCCCTCTGTCTCCAGGTCTGGTCCTGCTCTTCTACCTGGTCTTCTACCTGTTCCTGGCCGGGATGTTTGCCTTCACCATGTACATCATGCTGCTCACGCTGGACGACTACAAACCCACCTGGCAGGACCGCCTGCTCACCCCAGGTGAGACACACCCGTTACCATGGTGACGGACCTGCAGCCAGTCTCCACCCCCACAGACAGAACGAAGGAGCTGATTGGCTGCTGAGTCGGACCTGTGGTTCTGTTCCAAGTCTCAGCATCACTAAATGAGACCCAGTAGATCCAGTAAAGGAGCCTTTATTGGTTTCTGTTGGATCTGATGATTTACAGCTTTGATGACCTTTGAACTCAGATGATGTCATTATTACCAGTAAAAACACCTGCTGCTCAAAACCGGGCCTCAACAGAACCATGGGCTGGAAGGTCCGCAGATCCAGGAGTCAGGTGTTCATTTCTACTGGTTCTACTGGTTCTGTCAGGCGACCCAGATAGATCTGGGTCTTTGTCCAGAGATTTAGTTCTGAGCAGGTCTGACCTGTTCAGGGATCTGAATAGAGTTCTGGAACTTGACCTCCGTGATTCAGAATCTGGGTCAAAACCTTCTGATCCATTCCAGCTTTAAATCAGAACCTTCATGCTCAGTGGGTTCCTTCTATAGACGGACCCAGTGGGTCTCATCAGAACATCCTGAGAATACTCCTCTGGTCAGAACCTTCCAGAAGATGAAGCCTGCAGAGAGGTCCAGACTGGGAGCGGTACTGGGAATGCTCAATGAACTGGGTCGATCATTTAGAAACCCTGTTAAAACAAAACAAACCAGCAGAAGCTTCAGAATAATAAAAACACTGAATGATTAGAAAAAATAAAGACTCTGGCTGATTAAAATAATGAAAACACTGAATTATTAAAATAATAAAGGCACTAAATGCTTAAAAAATAAAACTAATTTTAAACTAATTGTTTAAATTAATACATTAAAGCACAATTTAAGACTGTATTAAAATAAACCTTATTGCTGATATAGCATCGCCAACTGGATAAAAACATTTTCAGCCACATAGAAAACCACATCAAAGAAAACAACATAACATTAGAGATTCAACTAACAGATTCTGCATAAA